AAAAGGTTAATTACATCAATTTTTTGAATTAAATTATATCACAAAATATATTTTGAGATTTTAATCTAAATTAGCATAAATGAATGCCAATTAATTTGTAACATTAATATCCACAATCAATTCTTTCAATTCCTCTATAAAAACCCGATTCTTCGCTATCAAATTGTTGAATAATTTCTGCAAATCGATCAAAATATCCATTAATTTCGTATAAAATTTGCAAAATAGGTGAAAAGTTACTAAAAAGTTACTAAAGGTGATAACGTCCCAAAAGGTGCTAAAAAGGTGAAATAAAATTCTCTTAAAATACCCCCAAAGGGGTATATCGTGTGCCCCCAAACTTTCAGAAGGTTCTCCGCTTTCGGGAGAAAAAGTTATTTAACTTCAAATCAATGCTTTATTAATGAATTATTTTGAATATTTTAGTATTTTGAAATTAGTTTACTAACATAATTTAAAATTATAATTGAGCTTATTGTAAAAATAAAATATTTATTGTGATACTATTTACAGGACTAATAAAAATCAGAACAAAACGCAAGACTCGATCGATAAGAGCGAACAGAATAACGATGTAATCATATATTCATCACTAATCGCAGCCCTATTTGTGACGGCACTGATGCGCTCAGTCACGTGGTTTATGATGTGTATGCGGGCGTCCGTTAATCTACACAACAGTATATTCTATCGTATATTACGGACTCCCATATCATTCTTTGACAACAACCCCGTCGGTAATTAATGTCACATATTTTTGTTAATTTTAAATTACTTATTTAATTCATTAATTACAATTATAATCAATAATATAAACCTTTTATTGATTAATTACAATTAACATATTATATAATCATGATCATTTTATTATATTTGTTTTAAGGTCGAATATTAAACCGATTTACAAAAGACATGGGAATTGTGGACGAAATGTTGCCGTCGACTGGCTTTGACTTAAATCTTGTAATATTAATCTATGAAATGTTAAAAATGTAGTATTTATTTAACCAATTGATGTGTCCATATGTAGACAATGACCCAGGCACTTGGCATAATAATCGTGGTGGCAATGGTCAATCCCTATCTAATCATACCGGCTGTTGTGCTAATCATACTGTCCATTATAGTGCGGGGCATATATATTAAATGCGCCCGAGATATCAAACGCTTTGAGGGTTTAAGTATGGGATTAAAATATAAACTTATTTATTAACACAAATATTTAATAATTAAATTCATTTAATTAGCGCGAAGTCCGGTGTTTACACACGTGAGCACAACACTGAACGGGTTGGCCAGTGTGCGGGCCTACGGGGCGCAGGAGGCGTTTGAGCGCCAGTACTACGTGTACCAAAACGATCATTCAGCAACATGGTTTCTATTCATATGCGCCTCCCGTACGCTCGGTTTGATTATGGACTGGATTTGTGTCGGTTATATTGTGGTCATATCTGTTGTGCTGATGATATTCTACGAGGGAATTGGCGGCGGAAGCGCTGGACTGGCCTTCTCTTCGGGTATGGTTTGAGAGTTTTATTTGTTGTTTAATAGAGTTTTAATGTATTGTATAATTAATGATGTATTCATATGTTCAGCCCTAATGTTGACGGGAATGACTCAGTGGGGAGTCCGGCAGTCGGCAGAGATGGAGAGTCAGATGACTTCAGTCGAGCGCATCATTGAGTACTCAAAATTGACACAAGAAGCTGCCCTTACTTCAGATGATAGCCATAAACCCCCTCCCAATTGGCCACAGAAGGGACAGATAGAGCTCAGAAATATGAGTCTATACTACGAGGGGTCAGACAAACCGGTGCTGAAAAACCTGAGCTGTAATATAAAGAGTGGAGAAAAGATAGGGATCGTTGGGCGGACGGGTGCCGGCAAGTCGTCCATCATATCAGCGCTGTTTCGTATGGTTGAGCCAAAGGGGGAGATAATAATGGACGGTCTGTCTGTGGGATCAATTGGTTTGCATGAATTGCGGTCAAAGATCTCAATCATACCTCAAGACCCGGTGGTCTTCACGGGACCCGTCAGACGGAATTTGGATCCTTTTGGCGAATATAGCGATCAATCGATTTGGAGTGCTTTAGAAGAGGTGCAGCTGAAGGGGGCGGTGGGGGACCTCCCGGGCCAGTTGGACGGCCAGTTAGCTGAAGGGGGCGGTAATTTAAGTGTAGGTCAGAGGCAGTTGGTATGTCTGGCGCGGGCTATACTGCGGCACAATAGGGTACTAGTGCTGGACGAGGC